CTTGTCTAGATGTAACTTTCAGGAAAAGATTCGGTAATGCAATTACGGTCGATATCAGCTTCCCCATACTCAAAAGTCGAGTCTACGGTGCCCATGGCAACGTAGACTCTTTGGTATCGTGCTCGTGAGTCCGTCCGTGAAGATTCCCATCTTTCGAGGCGGTCGTATCATCCTGTAAAGCCGCCACGAATGATGGAGTGCAAACGCTGTTACAGGAACTCGTTTGGCAAAATGGCTGAGAGCGAATTTCAAAGTTGTTGCTGTAACCCAAAAATCACTTCCTTGCATCCATCAGTCAATCACTTCTTCTTTCCACCTCTCCTTTCCACTCATGTTAAGTTTTAGTATCTCAGCCAGTGTTTAAGTCTTTCGCATGTTTAGTTCGAATTCCTGCGCGAGGCTCAACTGATAGTTAAGAACTGGTCAAAATTTTAAATCTTAAGTAACATGTATTTAACCGAGAGCTAACATCTGAGACCAGAAAATTTCACAGATGAATGAAAAATAGATTGAGATCAAAATCTAGGGTAAATGGACTTCTGAGGGTACTTATAGGCCTTGTTTTTAAACCATTTCATCAGGAATTTGAATACTCCATCGCCAAAAAATACAACATCGATAAACTGTACTCTGAAATGATTATAACCTTCCCTTTTTTTTCAAAAGCAGGAATAGAACGACAAACGCTGTGCTTCAGCACTTGGCCTCTCGACTGCCGATTTCTGCTCATGAAAAGATGACATTCTGAATGAAAAGAGAATAAAAAATGTAATAAGAGAAAAAGAAAGAAAGAGAAAAAGGGGATAAGAAAAAAAAAATCCACGGCCTGAAGTCGATTTCTCACCTGAAGAGAGAGGCATAAGCCACTGCGCCAGGTATGCAAATTTGCCATTTTAGTAGCAGTTTACAAGGGATCGGTAGTATGTCATGGCTACGCCACATAGAGTCATGAGTCACATCACCCTCAGTTGCTGTATCTACTTCACCTTAAGCTCCGAAAAATGAACCCTCTGTGGGTTTGCCTTGTGTTTAAAGGACCTCCTTAACTAAAAGCGGCGCTCGAGAAAGGGCCTTGTAAGAGAAAGGGCCTCGTAAGAGGATATTTGAGACCTCGGTGGTTTAATGATTACCTCGTCAGTATTGTATTCGTACACGGATATAGCAGGCGAGACTCAGACAAATTTGCTAACAAGGCAACTTTTACTTCTGCAATGAACCTAATGTGCTGCACTAATCCAGCAACAAGGAAATTGAATATATTAGTCCTATGAAAGCACTTTGTCACAAGGTACATAATTTATAATAAAAGTATATAAAAAAAGATACTATCTAAGTCCGTAGTTTACGTATCTTGTGATATTGTCTTCAAACACTTTTGTTTCATTGCTAGTAAGTAAGTAAACTTTTCAAAACCACTCAAGAAAGAAAAAGAATAAAGAAACAAATTACGGCACACGAACTGTGCATGCACACCTGTTATCAAAAATTGAGATGCTACAAATTCATTTCAGACCTTAACTCTAGACCTAACGAATACTATTCGAGAAAGACTTTGGTTGATAAAAATAATCCCATTTGATGAAAATAAGTCCCAATTTAATAGTACGTCGATTGTACTACGGATAATATCTCTCACATATATGCCGTCCGAAGCAGACTACCTAGCACGTTGCCTTATCTTACGTACGCTCGCTGGTTTAGAGATGGTACATAATTCCCTCGAAACTCCATCCCCCATCTGGCTGTCCACCATCAAACGACAAACCGGCGTGATTGAAAGAACTCAAAGACCGAAACACGACAAAATACCACACAAGGGCCTTCTGGCTCAGATTTAATCCTAACGGCACATAAATCAATTTTACTCAGCCAATGAATACTCTGGAACTGCATCAGATCATGCTTCGGTAATTAGCATCATGTTTCCAATAGATCACATACTATATTTCAACTGTTCGTTTAAGTTTTCTTACTAGAGCGTAATAATGCAATCAACTTGATAAAGATATATTTAAAAACAAAATCTACAATTCTAACCTTTTTTGGCTTGCTTAATATTGTAAAATCATCATTGGAAACGTTTTCCAGCATCTTGTTGATGATAGAAATTGGATTATATAATACCCGTTTGGAACTTTTCTCGTACGTTCATTTAACCAATTTGAACTAGTAAAATTAAACCCTTAACTGTCTTGAAGGGAACTACATCATATTGACAGACACTACATTAATATGGTTACCCTGAAAAACGCCTTCGTAGGTCTTTAAAAACTTGGAGCAACCGAAGTGCCCTTGGGTGTTAAAGACCAAGTTCGAGTGCAAGAGAAATTTACTTTGAATTTTTCACCAGTAACATCGAGCTGCCTTTCAGGAATGTGTTCTTTGCGTGTTGCTGAACCTTTCAATTGTTGTAGTCTTTCAGTTGGATTTCTAATTCTTTTTTGACAAGACCTTTTGTGTATATATTCAAGAGAGGTAACTAGTAGCGCTGTCTCCACGATTTTGAGGGACATCTTTCGGAGTTTTCTGGATTTTACCTTATGAATAGTTCATTGAAAAGATCACTAAAACTCCATGACTTGAGTGACATTGTAACAAGGTTATTCCAACGTTTTGGAAGTTGTGCGAAATTGTAAAATCATAAAACATTGCAGAGAAGGGTTCCACAACGTTTTTCCTTACAACAGCAAGGATAATCGGGACACTTTTTTATGTCGAGAAACAACAATTATCAAAAACTTTTTACTTTTCTTCTTCTTATACTAAATTCGCGCGGATGTTCAAAGGAAACCTTCAGTCATCTTACCCTGGACATGGTGGACGAACTCCGCTCAAACAAAGACCAAAGTTTGCATTGGTTATATATTGCTATGGGTTTCGTAAATGGAATTAAAAAATTAATACAGTCATTGAACCCTATCTCCCGGGTCTCACGGATCCTGGATGATGGCATATGTAAAAGCAGGTCGATGCTGGTTTCGATGTTTTGAGCAACTATTTACTACATTCCGATAAATAGGCCCTGAACCAATCCCGGCACCACGGCGTATACGCTAATGGGGAAGGCTTTCCAGTTTGCAGAGTTTCACCAAGCACATCAAGTTGGTGGATGAATAGCAAACAATTTTTTTTCCATCCGGGGACACAGCCATACATGCGACGGTGTCCAGTGGAATCTTTATGAATCCAACCGCTTTACACTCGATTGTAACCCAGAGGAAAACCATGCTATCGATACCATAGGAAATAAGATAACGATTTTCCTTAAGAAACCGAAAAAACTCTACTTTACCTAGATGGCCATGGAGGACTCTCTTGGAGGAATTGACATTTGATGCATTTCGACGATATATGAGAATTGTGTTCGCGATGCAACAAACAAGAAGCTGGTTGTCTGACGAAACAATACATTGACTGAACCTAAGAGAGTGGTACATCATCTCTACGTGAAGTGTCGTCAATAAGTGACAAGAGCTTTCACCATATTTCCAGATCTCAATCTGATACTTATCGCACAGCATAACCTCTTGTTTGCCAAATGAAAGGCAACAACATTCAACAGCGGTCAATTTCTGTGACTTCACGCTGCTCGATACGAACTTTCCCACAACGTCCCATACATCACCACGCGTAAAGCTTTGCAATGTCTGGATACAAAAGAGAAGTGAGGCACTGTCGTCTGGAAATGTAAAGGACGAAATCGTGTAACCTAATCCTTCTAGAAAGACTGTACAGGTCTGCGCAAGGCTAAAATCTGTAAAGGTATATAGCATTAATTTGCTTCCTTGGTGAATGGCAATATACTGTGCGTCTGGAGAAAGAGCACAATTCTTCACTTGTGAGCCAGACGTGTCGAGAAGAGACTTGCAAAGCTGAAGCCGTCTTGCGCTTCAGGGGTCTGCCAAAAGGAAGCATTCAAATCAGAACTAACAGCTAAAACTGCATTAGCTGAGCAAAACACTGCTGCGATCGTTTTTTCCACCACCGCCAACTCTACTGGTGATGCCGGTTAAACTTGAAAGGGCTGAATAAATCCGAAAAAATGATGGCTTCTTCTTCTGTATCGCTGCGAAAGAAATAGCCACACTTGTGTTGCCATGTGAAATAAACGAAGATATTGTTGGACACACTGGTTAACACGGTACCTGTGTCGAGGGACAAAGCGTGCAGCCATTATCGGTCAAATAAACCAAACAGGAGTCATCATTTGTAAATGAGAAGTGCGTGACCTTTTCAATAGCACGTTGCGGCGTTTCATGGTCACAGGAGAGCTCTCGATTTCTTTTTCGCAAGATATGAGGTTTTTGAAAACCATTAGCCTCTAGCACCCATTTTCCTCCTGGTGAATGGCAAATGAGAATATCTTTGTTGACTATACTTTCAACATCGTGAAGCCCTTCTAGAAAATTCGTGTACTCCTCATACTTAAATGATCCATGTAAGAACTCTCGCACCAAATAAGGGTTCCTCTCCATCACTTCTTCCTCCTGTACTCTGAGATATGGCTCTCACACTCCATTTCCAATCCCTCTCCCATGCTCTCGACTCCTCACGCTATAAGCCATAGATGTGTTTCGGACTCGATCCAGCTTACGTTCAAGCCCTTGTTCCAGTCGCTTTTTTAGTTTGCTTGTCAACATATCTAGCCTCAGCCATCGGTATTTCTTCATCATCAAATTCTCTATACCTTTGGGCATAAGCTCATTCTCCACCCATGCCGTCCAACTTTGCGCACCTTTGACCTCATGGTCTCTCTTTCTATTTAGTTCCATCTCCATCTCATGGATAAGCTCTCGCTTCCTCTCTTTTAAAGTCTCAAGATTTTTCTTCGATTCCTCTATTCACTTTGTTTACCTCCAGAAAAAGGCGGTCTAAAATCCTCACAAATCAGTCGACAGTACCGTTATTTGCATGTAAATAATCTCCTAAGTTGTTGGATATATCTGGGACAGTTCGAAATCATAGACTAGGTGTTCCATCATCCGATCAAACTGTCTTACATTTGGTTCACTATCAGAGGTCAGTTCATCATACAGTCTTCCTTCTTTTATAAGTAAGCTCTCAAGCTCCTCCTCAGCTGTCAGATTTACATCAAGCTGATCGAGCTCATGAAATCGGTTTCTCACCCACGCAAATTCTGTACTAGTCAGCTCACGCTCACATTTAGATAGCAAAGTCCACGTTTTCCAGGTCTCAGCTATCCATTCTCTCCCCAGCTCCTGCTCAAGGTTTACATGTACGTCTCTTCGCTCATGCTCTAGCTCACGGTTGCGTTCAATTAGAAAAGCAACTGGGTTCTCTTCACGCTCCTGCAGCTCTCCCTTCCATCGACGTTCTTGATCGAGTACAAACTTCAGCACCTGGTAATCTCTGTACTGCATTTC